GATTTCTTGAAAATTTCTCTGATATAATAAAAACAATTCTGTTTTTCAACAACATCATACATATTTAATATAAAAAAAAAGCACTAGAAGAATTCTCTTGAACTCCAAAGAGACGTTAAAATTAAAAAGCAATCAATTTAAAATGCAAGCAACTTCTTAAAGCATCTTAGTGTACTTCGGAGGTGGGTTGAGGCTGATACCTGGAAAAAACACATCTAATGTGGAAGAAATGAGAATGGTTCCCAGTCTCTCCACAGCTACTCAGATGTCATTGAAACTTGTTATTCTTTATTTTGAAAAAAAATACAAAATACATAAATACTATTTATGTTTTTATGTATTTATTTTGTATGTATAATTGTTACCTAATCTTTTAGACTTGTCTCACACAGATGGAAAAAGTCATTTTTGAGACTTAATTTTTATTTTGTCCAGGAAATTTATCAGTAGCTCTTGTTATAAAAGTCACTTATGCAGTCAGGCTTTATGTATTAAGGAAGGAAATATTTCCAAGTTAAACAATAGTTATTTAAGTACTTGTTTGTGGATTGTCATATCGCCTTTGCATGCCCATACTCTTTCTGTCTTCAGTTTCTAATACATGCTAACTTCAGCAGTCTTGAATTTTGGTCTGAAATGGCAGATTTGCCCTGGGATGTCTATTGGATGTTAAGCAAACCTCAGCTCTGAGATATAAAAAAGGAAGAAAGTTCAGAAGTGAATTGCTACCTGGAACAGTTTTCTGAAGGTGTTCTAACTCCTTTTTTATAATGACCTTGGTGAATCTGATTGCTTTATGTGACTTAGATTTCAGCTTATCTAGCAATGAAATGAGAGGGCTTTCTGTAACCTTGGACTTGGCATACTTAATACCATGTATTAATACCGTAGTCTAAATATACATCATACATGACAGCATCTACAAGTTGTAAGTATTAGATTCATAAGGGCTGTTAACTTTGCAACCACTTGCACAATAAAATAAAAATTTAAAAAATGATGTTTTCTTAATGCTAAGTAATATGCTGCAGGTTGTTTGTAGATGTTAAGGGGCTGATCTACTTCCTCTGTTTACAGAACTTACGAAGCAAGAAGAGAATCGGATTTTTCCTAGTGCTGTTTCCTTATACTCCTCTACATTTAGCACACAGATTATAAATTTACAAAAAAAGTAGTTCAACACTGCTGGTTCTGTGATTATGATAGGTAAGCCCAGAAATTTTGGGGTGAGTTGGCAGTGCTCTTGTTTTCCATTTTCTGAAATTCCTAGAGCTTCTTCTTGTTCTGTGCAGTGGTTTGATCAAGACTTGCTGTTGTTTCTAGAATTACTGTAGCTCTAACACTGCATAAAACATAGACCTCCAATGGGTAACAAAGCTAGGTAGACCAGGTGTGGTAAGCATTCATACTCATTGCTGTTTTGAATAGTGGGAAAAGAGATTTCTGAGAATCATATCAAGCTGTTCTTTCTTTTCAACAATTACACACCTGTGAAATTGCTCTTTTCTCTGCACTTCAACAGCAGACCTCTAGTAAACAGTATTTACTAAAGGTTCACAGGATAATTTGTTCTGGAAGTAACCTACTCAAAGCAGAGATAGCTAGGAGGTTAAATTTCTGTAAATTTATTATTTTAATAAACTTCTGAATTGGGTCGTTCTTAGGTATAGAAAGAACTCCTTCAGAAATCTCTTAAAACTATGTACTTTTACCTGAAATACGTGCCTTTAAAAAAGAAACTAGTAGAAACTTCCATGTTCTATGAACTTAGGACAAACCTTTTCCCATGCAGACAAATTACTGAGGCTCCATTTGGAGCAAATGGATTGCCACAGTATTTATAAAAGCACATCTTGAAGCTTGCGCAGTGAATCAGTCACTCCAGGCTATTATCTCACAAAGTGATCATTGCTAATGTGTCAGGTCTCAGTCAAGAGCATTAATACAACTAATGCATGCAGTTGATGCATGTGTTTATGCTGGTTGGGTTTGCACGTGTGGCAATGAAATATTGGTCTCAAGTACATGGCAATACTTCACCCTGAAACTTATGCTTTGCCTTCTTATTTTGATAAGAATATTTTGCCTTTTTGGTAGCTTAACAGATGTGCTAAGATTTTAATTAAATCAACCAGTGTTCCCTAAGGCAGAAGAACAGTCTACTGGGTGATGGAAGAAGAAAATGGAGTGGGAAAAGCAGGAGAAAAAGTGGGAAAGGCATGCTGAATCTGTTCTTGAAGCTAAAGTGATATCACTTTTTTGAGGGAAGAGATATTTGAATGTAATTTGAAGTGAGGTTGAATGTTGAGTAGGTATTCAGACCTTGGCAGCTGAGAATCCATGAAAGAGGCTTCTGGATTCTGTTTTAGGTAAAAAAAAAAGATTAAAAAGAGCTTTGTTTTCATAGCCTGAGTTTTAGAAATCTTTGTTGCTACATGAATAAAGGCAGAAGTGATTGTCTTTCTGCTCTGGCAAGCTTAAGCTTTGTACTGTATTTCCAAATGGTGACAGTTGATTTATTTTCTTCCCTAAAGTAGGCAATGATACTCCCATACACAGTGTATTTAGGCAAACTTGCAAAAATTTGTGTGACAAATAATGTGACTTGGCACTTCTAAGGAAAGATACTGTTTTTGAATTTTGCAATAGTAGTTCCAATGCTTTGTTCTTATCTGTACTTAAGGTACTTTTCTTTGAAAAAGAGCATATCTTAATTCTTTTTTGCTAAGCTAGGAGTAATCATGTATTTAATAAGAGTGCCAATAAATGTAAGCAAAAAAGGCAGAATGTTTCACTGTGAGTGAAAATACAATATTTATTGAGTTCTGCATTTCTAATGCCTTTATATAGAATATTTGTATCTAACATCTATGAAGTTGTTATACATCAATATGTGATCTCCCTTTAAATATGCATAACACCAAATAGATTATATAAAGAAATAAAAGCTACCAACTGTTTTTAAAATATGAATACGATTCTTTTCTTAAGATGCACTTAGTACTTTTTAAAATGCATCTTCTCTTACACAGAAAAATAAAATGGAAAAGACCTAAATCCAAATTCTCCAAAGCTCAAGATTTAGTTTAGTTAGTTGTGTTTGAGGAGTAAAAGGATGTCTCGTAAAAGATGTTTTCTCATGTCTTCAGACAAATGGGTTGAGTGCAGTCAAATTTGACAGTACTGTCTGTGGTTAACTGCTTAAATCCTTACTTATACAAGTTTGTCTCCTAAAAATGCAGCTATTCTTAGTGGGCATGATGGGAGTAGATTGAGCTTGGGCTTGGTGATCTTAGAGTTGTTTTCTAACCTTAATGACACCATGATAGTAGTTGAAGAATACTTGTGCTGAACCTGCTCATCTTCTTGAGCATTTCTTTGCCCTTGCAAACACAGTGAGAACCTGGAGCTGAAAGCAAGACTCCCTATTACTCATCCCCTTCCTCAAAAAATAAAAAAGAGTAACAGCAAAATTAAAAAATAATTCCTTCTGTTGCAAAATTCCATGAGATTTTTAAAACTTGCTCAGTATAACTGAGCATAAATTACTCCCTTGATGTACGTCTGCCTTGTTCTTTCCTCTCTTCCATGATGTATGTGTGGGCATGTAAAGGAAGGATGGAAGAAGTCGTGACAGTTGATATATGTACCTGAGGTGTCTGGTAGCCTGGGAAGGTTGGCTTTTTTTCTGGAAGAGAAAATAAGAAGCTGACTGCACTTTTTATGAGCCTTTTACTGTTCTGTCATAAATATCCATGGCAACATGACTGTTTCTTTCATGCTGGTATTGTATCATCAAAATAACAATAAATGTGGATTTAAATGAACACAGTCAAATAGAACTTGCAGCCAAGTGTGTCTGAAAGGAACACTGTTGTTGGAATACAGAAGTTTTCAGACATTTTACTTTCTCTTTTTTTTTTTGGCTATTTATGTTCCTTTTCTTGTTCTCCTTTTCTCTCTCTTCCATCTCGGTTCACTGTGTAGCGTGTGTAACTTAATTTGTCAGTTCTATCTCTATGCCATGTGAAGCCTTAATAAGGGTCAAAACTAATTTCAGAAAGGTTTCCATTCATTTCAATCTGTGAATCTCTATTGGCTTTGATACAGTCCAAAAAGATTCCTCAAACAATTGAATGCAATGATACACTAATGTACACTGTGGAAACTTTTTTTAATGGATGTGATGCATAATGTTGTTTCTGGATGACTTTCATATGACCGGACAAACAAATAGATAGAACTCCCTCTTCTAATTATCAGATCTTGCTTATAAGCAAGCTTGTTTTGTTTTATTTTGTGCTACACAGAAAGCTAATTTTTGTTTTGATATTCGATTATTGTACTGTTGTCAAGTGCTGGAATGGGCTGCCCAGGGGAGGTGGCTGAGTCACCATCCATGGAGGTGTTCAAGAAACATTTTGATGTCGTACTAAGGGACATGGTTTAGTGGGGAATACTGGTAGTACGTGGATGGTTGGATACTGGAGGCCTTTTCCAACCTTGGTGATTCTGATTGTTGCATGATTTGCCATCCAACAAACTTCACTTGTGACAGAGTAAGGAATACTTAAAATGAAAACATTTTAACAGTGAGCTTTACTTTGTAAAGTTTTTTTTTTAAAAAAAAAACGATGGTAAGATCAGATGAAATAATGAAACAGAATGCTCTGAAAGTTGTGAGTTGCATCTGCTGCTGTATGGTTTTTAGAGATTATATCAATATTTTGAAATAGCATTTTGGAAACTGTTGCCACTTTTCAACTTGGTGTGGCAGTGGAGTGAACGTATATCTAACTGACAATTATTTATGAATTCTTGCTGTGCAGAGGTGATACCTCTCCAGATCCAGTCTATCAGGCTGATTTGTTACATGATGCCTCCTTCAAGCAGTTATTGCCTCTGTACCGCGAATCTTGTATAGATTCACTTCAAACAAATTTAGACTCCAATTAGATAATACTGATATTATTTTCATTACCGTTTCTGTCTTCTTCCAGGCAGAATCCCTAAGCCCTGCTCTGCCGTAACCTCAAAGCCAGCTGCTGCCTGCCCGTCCCTCCCCATCCACCACTACCAAACCCTCCAGGACGCGGCTGGAGGCAGCACGCTGACTGATCGCCTCGAGCAGGCTGTGGGCTCGCAGCAGCAGCTCGCTGCCTCTGACATCACTCCTGGAGCTCACATCCCACTCCAAGCTCCGTTCATTAGTCGATCCATCAGTCGGCAGAGGAGACAGGAGACGCTGCGAAGAGGATCTGTGAGGAACAGAACGAAACAGAGGGGCTACATCATGAAATTCTTCCCTGCTTATTACTTGCTGCCTCTTTTTCCTGCACTGGTCTTCAGTACTAGGTGAGTAAAGAGAGCTATTTTGCTTACAGTTCTGTTCTGTTTGCTATTTATTCTTTTAGACTTGGGATTTGCAGTAGGAATAACACTGGTTTCAGCTTCTGCTTGGAAGTTTAAAGCATGGGTATCTTGTCTGATTCTTGTCTTCCCCCCTCCCCCTCTTGATCCTCTGAGGCATGCTGAATCTTTTGTATGTTATTTCTGGGTTTTGTATATTGTTAGTTAAAGAGCTGCTGCTGTGTAAGTTGACCCTCAGCTCATGAGATGAAACAGGACAGGGAACAAATATAAACTCCATATGTTTTGTCCATATTGCTCCATATGCAGCAATAGAATCATAGACTCAACATTGCTGGAAAAAACCTCCAAGATCATCCAGTCCAATATTTCCCCATTAATCCACATCTCTTAGTACCACATCTAAACATTTCAAATAGCATGGGAAGTAATGAAGCCAAAAATGCTGAAATGGAGAATGTGCTAATGTTTTCCCCTATTGAGTGCAGGAAAACAAACAATTCAACGGTCTTATCCCAGCTCAGGCTTTTGCATCCAAACAGAGACCTTAATCTTTCTGGTGAAATACAGGTAAGGTGTTGCAGTGTTATCTCAATGCCAGGAAATACTGAAAAGTTCCTGCAATCCAGCAGCACTCCTTTCTGTGCAAGTACAGCATGTCATGAGAAAATACGAACAAAACCTACTGCAAACTCAAAATGTAAACTGTTCTGAAATGCAGTGCTCTGATAAGATAAAGTGCATTGCGCAACTGCTTATAGTTACTATGTTGTCTGTTCTGTGGGCATAACATGTTTAGCCAGGGAAAGATACAGCTGATACACTCTATCTCATTGTCTAGTTTAGAGAAGAAGAGTTAATGCTGGGTGCAGAGTAGATGCGTCCTAGTAACACTGCTCACAGTTCAGGCTTCTTAACTTCCCATTGCTTGATGGAAAATTAACCTAAATTTTAAGCATGACGTTTCTCTGCTGTGCTGTAGTACCGAATCAGCTTCTAAGTCCATAAAGCACATTATCAGAGGATGAGTGCATTTGTTAGGAAAGTGCTTGATAAGGCATTTGTTCCTGTAATTTGTTTGTTTATTTCCTGCATGTTTCAAGCCTTAATTGTTCATGGAGTTTCAAAAAGAAAGTGCCTGTTAGGTACTCAAAGTAAGATGGGGCAGGAGCACCTCTCAGTGCATACGCAAACACAGAACTGTGAAACTGTAAAATCTGAATGCAGGGAAAAGTGAAGAGCATCATAATGCTTCAATTATTTTACTTCTGCACTCCTGCACTCTTTTTTTTTTTTTTTTTTTTTTTTTTTGATAGGGTTATGATGTGATAGGGTTATGTATGTGACTTCCATTTTTCTGTAATGCTTGTGGTTTAGAAACTATAGAGCCAGTCAATATAAACAAGTCCAATGCTCTTTGAAATATAAAACTCAGAGGAGAATTGCGACAGTCTGATTCAATAGGTTTCCTTTCTGATTTAATAAGCAGTCTAAGGAAACTTTCACTAGCAGCCAAGCAAAACTTGTGAATTTAGATTAATAGTTACTCATACTCATTTAGAAGTAATATATTCTTTCCTAAATTATGCCAAAGTTGAAGAGGAAAGGAAGTACCAGGGCAGTACAAAAACAAGTTTGCATCTTGCACAGGTTTGCACAAAAATGTAATTAAAAGAAGTGGGGGAAGTTGCTTCAATTTTTCTTATGTTATGGGTTTTATGAAACTGAGATAAATGACTCATTGAGTGCTCAGGAGATGAATCTGGGAAAAAGGCCTCTAGTATCAAACCCAAAAAACATTCCTAATTGAGGGATGGAAACTATCGATGTGAAACTGTTCACTTAAAACTCTGCTCAAGCACTGTTTTGTGTTGTGAAGTTTTGCTTTTGTGATACCATCCTGTAGCACAGGACACTGATGCTCTGCTATAGTTCTGGTGATTTATAAGACTGGAGGTACTGCACCATCCTGGTCAGCAGCTGCCTTCAGTCACTTGATTCTTAACTGCCTGTGTAGAACTTTGAGTCGTTTTTCAACAGCACGTGATAGAAGCTTAAAAAAATAACACAGTGCTAACAATATGCCATCTACTGCAAGGAGATGATTCTCTTTCAGCAGAAGTCATTGCCTGGAGTTTGTAGCAGTCAGTATTTCTTGGGAACATACTGTCAATGCATTAGCTAGACCTGAACATAACAGGAACTTAGGAGCAGTTGTGTGAGCAAAAAGCAGAATCTTAAATTGTGCTGTGTGAAATTGCTTAGCAAAGGAAAAGCACAGGCCTTGTGGTACAGAAAGTTTTCCATGGTGATTTTTTTCCCCTTCCCCTAAATTTATAGAGAAGTGAAGCACCACTAGTTAATACGTTGGTGCTGAAATCAGTAAACACAATATTTAATGCAGATGTGGACAACTGAGGTTTTTTCCTCCTTGTCTCATGTAATGTTATTGTCTTTGCCTCATGTCATGGTTTTATATCTTCAGAAGACATCAGTGTGTCCTCAAGGCTAATTGTAAAGAAATGAATTGACGAGTAGAACTGCATTAACACACATCTTGATGTACTTTATGGTATTATTAAGAAGACAAACATATGGTTCTTAAGCTTGTGTTCAGTATTAATTTCTAGTTTTCAGAACGGTACTAATATCTTGTCATGGTCTTAAACCACATAAATGAACCACATGTCTATTACATTAGAGAAAGTTCATGTTTTTAAAATGAACACTTCTCTGTACTGCATAAACTTGGTTTTCATAGAATCGTAGAATCATCAAGGTTGGAAACGAATTCCAAGTTCATCCAGTCCAACCAATCCACCTACCACAAGTATTTCCCCACTAAGCCATGTCCCTTAGGACAGTGTCTAAATGTTTCTTGAACACCTTTTGATGTGGCTTTGAGAGTTAGTTATTACTCTTGATCATTTCAATTTTCTTTGTACTGCGAAGTGGTAATAAGATTGAGGTATACTTGCCTGTCCAGTTAATGATTTGTTTGGATGGAAATAGTAAATAGAAATAGAAAAAATTAATGCTTGGAGTCCTAAAACAAATTAATGAGAATACATTTTTTAAGCTGAAATTACCATTCTAAAGCTTGTGTTTCCCTGTCTGTTTTCAGATTTCCTTGGACTGTTTGGTCTGAGCAGATGTAATGTTGTATATATTGTATATATAAGGTTGTGTATATCTCATTTTTTCAGACTACACTGAAGACACCTACAGAAACGAGTTCTACAGAACCAAGCATTCAATAAGTGCACATAGCGTATAATAGGCAAAGGATCTTATTTTGTCTGCGTGCTTTAATGCAGATGCAGATGCTTAAGCCTTCTGACTAGGAAAAATACTATTTGTGGAACAGAATAACTGCATGAAGTTATTCATTTCGGTTAGTAACTGAGATCTGCAGCACTGATTATCTATCTTGTTGAAAGAGTCTTTCTTGTTTTAAGCTAGAAGGAGCATTTTCTACGTATTAATTAAACATTACAATTAGAAGATCAGGTATTTAAATCAGCAATGTTTTTTGTTGCCCAAATGACAAATGTCTGACTCATTAGAAGCATCTGGGTGTGAAGCAAAATTGGTATTTTTATCTAAGACAAGTGCGTAAGAAATAGGAATTTTCTGTCCACGCTTAAAATTTGCCAGATGCAAAATTGGATTGAAATAGAATTTCATAGTTGAGAATAAGCATAGGATGCATTTCCATAATAATATTAATAAAACTAAGCAGCAACTCACTAAATGGCTGTGCAAACACCAGGGCTGTGAAGGGCAGAATTTGTATTCCTTTCATGTCAGTGAAATGGCTGATGGTTTTTTTTCTTAACAGTATAACGGCATGACAGTCTTACGAAACCAATGTGAGAAGGCAATATAGAATTCAGTGTCTTCTGAAGAAATACTAACTTTGTTTTTTATCAGAATAAAAGTAGTGTAACACCCGCCCATTTCTGGTAGGCGGGTGTTTCTTAATGCTGGTATATGTTTTCGTTTGTTGTACTGCCACTGTTGGAAGAGATGTAAATAACTGGAACTTACTTCCTCTACGAGATATGAGAACCTGACTCAAATGCTTGCTTTTTCCCTATGCTGTATGTTTGATGTCAGCTATTTTCTTTAAAGCATTTGTTGGTTTTTGTAACTTCTAAAGTACATAAGAATACTGGTATCTTTCAGGTAACATTGTTTGAAGGACTTCATCTGAGCCTCGATAATGGGTAAACGTGAATGCCTTTGACATTACTATACTGGAAGTCATGGAAAAGGAAAGAAATGTTGAAGGAAATCATGATTTTTTTTGTTTTCAATTTGTTTTTTTTTCTAGTTCTTAAACTCTTGATCTTGGAAACTGGAACAGGTTCCTAGGGATGTGGTTATGCCGTATCCCTGGAGATTTTCAAAGCAAGGCTGGGTATGGCCGTGGGCAACCTGGTCTAACTGTGGAGTCCCTGTTCATTCCCATTGTTCATTGAGGATTTGGCCTTTGGAGGTCCCTTCCAATTCTAAGGATTCTGTGATTCTATTCTACTAAACACCCTATGGGTTATGGACAGATGTTCAAAGTGGCTTTTTTGCTTAGACTGATAGGAGAGTAGAAAGAACCCTGCCCCTTCCTAGATTTTGAGGTGGAAGAGAAAGACTTGCTTGTGGTGATGTCCTTGTCTGTAAACACACTACTGATATGCCCTTGCGCAGGTGGCTGAAAGCAGCCCTCCCTTCTGGGATCTTAGGCTGAGGTCTAGCAACATACTTTCTTTTCCACGTAACTCTTAGTGAACTGAGGGGAAAAAGAGTTTGATGCAGACAACTTTAGCATTTTCACATAAGGTGGTGTATAATAAAGACTGTTTTGATATTGTGCTTTTTGAATACTTTCAGAAATGCAAGGGTGTTGACTCACTCCTGTGCCTCTTGCTCAGAATTCCTTTTACACTTACTTTAGCCATCTGAGTTTTCTAGTCTGCAGAATTATT